TGAAGGGGTTTTCACTCATTTCTTGCCCCATCTAGAGACTCTGCTGTGGCTTTATGTGCAGCCATCCACTGCAGTCCACCACTGGGACATGCTCAAGTCACTGATGACCAGACAGTCCACCTGTGCAAGACTGACAGCTAGACAGCCTGACTGCGAAGCATCTAGAAAGCCACAGCAGGTAAACGATCCCGGCTTTGTATCAGGAGCGGTCGGCGGGGTTGTTAGCTGCAGAAGGGATCCAGTTATTTCAAGAGCAAGTGTTTTTATATTCTGAAGGGCCTCACACCTCCTCCAAAGCCTCAGACCACAGCCCTGGCCCATGGCCAAGACTCCCACCCAAGCAGATGCCATCGCTCCAGAACTGTGTTCCATACGTGCAGAGGAACACACCATGACCTACACGTGCTGGCACCGCCTCCCGCAGATGAACCCACATGTGCACTCACCCATGCAGTTCCATGAGTGATGGAAGAAACTGGCAAAGGCCATTCAAGAACAGTAAGAAACCTGGCTGTCTCGTGTTGATGCACCCACCCGTGAGGGAGAGAAGGTGCAGGCTGTGCCGCTCAGCTAAAGGCAGGCTGCTTGCCTTCTTCATAAATTCCAAAATAAAGATTAGCTTTTCAGAGAACTTCTCTTTCCTCCAGCCCTACTAACATCCCTCTGCTACCCAGACTTCACCGACAACCCTCCCGTCCCTGCCTCGGAGTCTCCCAAATGTGCCCCAAACAGCAGCGCTGGATACAGGAGCAGCAATGCTCAGGATGCCGTGTGGGCACGGTTCACTCAGCGACAGATGCCTTTCAAGGGCTTTATCCCACAACACGCTCTACGTGTGCCTGTGCCACTGAGGCACCAGGGGGCTGCCACAGGCCAAATCTGGACAAATCGGCATCATGTGCCTCCGGAGGTGCTGCACTGAGGGGGACACCTCACTTCTGCAGTATTCCTGCCAGAAATGCAAAACCTGAATCTCATCATGCAGAAACATCAGGCAAATCAAATTTAGGTCGTCTATAAATTACATCTGCCCTGACCCTTCAAAAATGTCACTGTCATAAAAGACAAACAATGAGGAACAGTTCCAAATTAATGGAGCCAAAGAGATAAGACACTTAAATTCAATGCATAATCTTTGATTGGATCTTGGGCCAGAAAATTCCTTTTTTAAAATTTTTTTGCTAAGAAGGATATTATTGGGATAGCGGTAAAGTCCTAATGACATCACAGATCAGACAACAGTGCTGTAACACTATTAATTTCCTAATTTTGACAATTACACTCCAGTTATGTAAGATAATATTCTTATTCTTAGAAAACATACACTGAAGTATTTAAGAGTAGGTAAAGGGGCATCCAGGCTGCAGTTTATTCTCAAATAGTTCAGGGAATAATATGTACACGTGTATAAAGAGGGAGAACGTTAAAACAAACATGGCAGTTGTAACGAGGTGGCTCTCTGTACCATTCTTGCAACATTTATGTAAGTCTGAAATTATTACCAAAAAGCCATGTAACTTGTAGTAAAATTCCAGCTGAACCGAGGGGATGGGCAGTTCTGCCCAGCAGGGCCATCAGGGAGAATCACACCAAATCAGAGGAGAAAAGGGGACATGCACCGAGACTTTGCGCTCACCTGTGCCTCTCTCACCTCCTCCTCCAAGGACTCAGCCTCCACAGCTCCGTCTCTTACGCTTCCCCTCTGCCCTTAAGTGGACTGAATACATGACAACTACACGACAACTTCCTCTATTTCTCTAATTGGAAAAACGGGAAAATATCCTGTCAGGCTTCACAAGGCTCATGGTTATAAAGACTAACACTTTAGAAAAGGCACTGTGTCACTTTAAGCAAACAAAGACAGTACATATTTAAAAGGCTAATATCCACCCTAAAGCAGCCCAGCAATGTACGCTAGCTCACTAAAAGGTGCTAATTCCCTCATGAAGAGAGTATATAATTTTAATTCATTATTTTCCAAACTGGGCCCCCATGTCCTCCCCTGATTTCTGCCCTCAATTTTCAACAATGGAACATTAGCATGATTACAGACAATGGGCTGATTTTAATCTGATAATGATCAAGACAGCATCTGTCTATGGCTTTGGGGGTCCCTAGCTCACTAGCTAGAGTTTCATCCAGTGTTTTCAACTGTCTATTTATAAAATCTGAAGTCTATGGGGGCGGTAAACTCACAACTAATGGACAGGGTGAGCATTGTAGAGGGGAAGGGCATGCCTCTAACCCTTGCTTCGGTGAGGCAAAGACATAAAATGTAACCAAAATGTTTGTACCCTCATAATATCCTGAAAAAAAAATCTGAAAGATATATTGGCCTTCGTTTTAGAAAAATGAGGTTAGAACCTAGAATCTGTTCCTACTCCTTCCCCCCAATATATCTCAGCCTACTAAGAAAGCTGAAGTCCCTTAATCATTAGTGACTACATTTTTACCTTGGATTATTTTTTAAGATACACAAAATAAGATACACAATAACAAAATCTTGCAAATAGTGCAATGAAATTAACAAATTTATTTTACTAAAAGTATGGGGAACAGTAAGTCCCATCTCATTTGAAAAAACAGACACCACCATCTTAAACACACACTTAAACATTAAACTGTGAAATAACACTGGGAGAAGAGGAGGGGAGGCAGGCTATGAACTTGCTAGATGCTACTATCTCGTCCTTGGTGGAGAGGCACGATAACAAAGACACCCAACAGCCTATGTTTCACTTGCATGTGACCAACTATTCGTCATGTGACAGCCTTCGTGAGGGGATGGCCAGAGACTTAGATGTGCTCCGATCCTCACACCACTCTTTGCCCATGTCTTGTCACTGGCCACTGTGGAGGTGCATCAACCAGGCCCACCTGGACAGCCCCACAAGAAAGCCTGTGGAGTCATTCATTCACACTTCATGGTTTAAAGAGAAATTTTACAAAATATCCTTAAACACATCCAGCTGTGTGGCCAAAGGCTCTGATATAATCCTTGAGAGTGGAGCATCGCGCTAGCTCATCTCAGCGTCCAGAGCTCCTGGCAGTATGGGCTGACTCCGAGGGCACCAGGGCTCACTGCTTCATCCCTCTTGGGCAGCTCCATTTAAGTCAGATCCAGCCCCCAGCAAAGCCCCTTCCAGACAGGGGAAGAAGTCAGGGCAGCAGGACGGGCAGTTCATTGCCTAGGCTGAGAGAGGTCTCCAAGCTCATCAGAAATGATCTTTCCTGCTGGATTCCGGACACAACCCCAGAATCAGGACTCACATATATTCGTCTATCCTTCTGAAGGACCTACTTCCTCCCACCTCCATCCTGAGTACACGGTGGTCCTGCTTCTCATCAGCTCCCCTAGTCAATCAGGGGAGAGCCAAGTCCAGTCACACACAGGAACACCAAAGTCCCTTGAGATAAACCAAGGGAGAGGAACAAAAACTTTAGTGACAAATTACAAAATCAACCAACCTTCCAAAAAAGTTACCATTTCAGATCTAGGCTGAGAAGGAATTCATGTTCTGTGAACCGGTCCATGTCAGATGGAGGGTACCAGGCATTTTGCCAGAGAAAGACAGTATCATAAGAAATTCCTAAGCCCATTTATCAATGTGATGCTTCCCATTTAACAACAGAATCATTACTATAGCACACTTCTCATCAAACACATATACCCTCCATGGGAAGGTAGAAAGAGGATCTGGTGGGTTTTCAGAAAGTTTTTTGACTCCCTTATAGAGATTCTATAATGAAAAACTGAAAGACTCCCTTATAATGGGACAATGTCTCTATATTTGTCTAAAAGAAGCTTAAAAGCCATTGTATATAGACAGGAAAATAAGGATGATTCAAAGCCATTAACAGGCAATATCATTTACTGAGCAAGTAAGCTAAAAAAGGGACCAACTTTCAAAGTGAGATAGAAACACTGGGGTATCCTAAGCATGACCTCCCTCCAGAAGAAAAAAGATTTAAAAAAATCTTTAAGAAGTACTTATATGAAACAACAATGTTCAGAAAAAAACAGAGCTAGAAGAGAAATGACAAAAACAAGAGTGAATGATATTAACAATTATTAACACTTTCCACAAAATAATACTAAGTGTCTTCCTTTTGAAAAAATCCACTGAAGTATCTTCATATGAGGTGTTTAAAAATCTGTGGACAAGTCAAAATCACATTACATCACACATCTGCTAGTGTACCCTGTAGAGGAGGCAGCCACACGTGCTAATGGTCCTCACTCCTAAAGCCTACACATTTTAAACTATCTCCCGTGTGAAAAATGTACCCAAATGGTCACTTACATTGCTACCGGGCAGAACAAATAAACAAATAAAAAATGGACAAAGATGATATACTGCTAAATTTTTTTAAAAATCAAGAACACACCTCAAAATTTAAGAGGCACTCAACTACCTTTATTTAAAGTTCTTACACACCAAATTTCAGGCTACTAATTAGTGGCTTCCTAATACATTTCAATAAATGAATGCCCAAGGACAACGATGGGCTAAGAGAGGGGCAGCAGCTCCCTGCTCCAACTCAGGTCACCTGGTAGGTCCCAGGAGAGTCCTTTATATTAGTACTAGCATTGCTCCCTTGGAATGAGTAACAAGAGAAATTTTAAAATTTCTTTAACTTTCACCTAAACTGCCTAAAGGGAGTATAGAAACACCCTATATGGATTGAACACTTTATTAATAATATTTAGGAGGGAATATTTCAAAGCCTATTTTAGCACTGATGTTTTAAGGTCTGTGCTCATAAAATTCCTTTGCTGCCTCCTACTGTATTGCACTTAATTGCCATCACTTAAACTCAGCCATAAAGCCAATGGGAAATGGGAAAGGAGAAACAATGGAAGAAACACAGGCAACACCTTTCATTTCTCCATTTCCAGAATTAGCATGTAATTGTGACTTATCACTTTCTCTTTTTAAAAGATACGGTGTGGAGGGGGAGGGTGTGAGGAGAAACGGGGGTAAAGAAAAGATCATTACCCTCCTTGGGTAATAAGCGTTAAACTCATCTCCAATACGCCGCAACTCCTGCGCGATCCATATCTCCGGGCGCATATCTGCAGGTTCAGCCTGAAATTGCCTCATGGAAGCTGCATTAGAAAAAACAAAACAAAAATCACATTGCGGTCCATGGATCCCTGAGAGTCCCAAAAGTAAGTTTTCTAGAAGCAAGCCCATCTCACATACTGTTCTGTGTTTCTGGAAGCTCCCTAACCTCAAGAACTACTATCATGCATTGAGGATTACAGTGGCGGAGTCAGCTACATAACTTTGGTTAACGAATAAGAGGTATAGAATAATCTCCTTTTTCAAAAGTGGAGATTCAGAGCTGCAAGAATTAAAAACATCATGGCCTATTCATATACACTTCCATTTCAAGAAGGCACTCACAAAAAAAATGACACAGTCAATATCCCCAAAGAAATATGCTTGAAACGTATTAGAACATAAAAATTTAGTTTGTCAGTAAAATAACCATACTGATTTTATTACAAGGTAAAAATCCCTAGGAAAATTTCAAATATCACCGAGGAATATGAGATGAAATCACAGTCCCCTTCAGAGTAAAGTAAGCAAAAACCTGAGAAACCAGAATGAGTTGGTTCGTACGGAAGTACTTACAGTGTTACAAACAGCCAGTCTTTAGAAGCGCTACCAAAGGGCCAAATGAAAGCATAATTGCATGTTTTATCTCAATATTAGTGCAGCCAATAAAAATGGGTTCAAGTCTGCAAACACCACATGGGGAGAGGAAACGTTTTGGTCTAAGAGCAATGGCATTTTTGAAAGGAGAAAAAAGAGGGAGGATCGACCTTTCATTAAGCTGTCACTAACACTCACACCCAGGACATTCATCCATTTGCTAATGAAACCATTAAAAGCCATGTGGCAGCCAAAACTGAAGGAGAACATAAATGTGAGTTGTCAAGAGATCCCATTGTGCACTAGGAAGATAATATTCTCCACGTAGCACAAGGAAAAGCATCACACTCAGGGGCAAACAGTTCAGTAACATGTGTACATGGAAAGAGATAAGATTCTTGGATTTCGACCGCTGTCACACGTACCTATGTTAACTTACTATGAAAGGGGGCACGTTTAAAAACATGTTATGTTTTAACCAGAGCAAAATATGTAAAAACCTACGATAACTGGACTTTGACACAACATGAATATAGCTTCCTGTTTTGTATTTTTGTAAAAGGTCAATAAAACTGATACTGATTCATAGCTCTATAAAAGCACTTAAAAGGGAACACTTCGAAGAGCTTTTGCCAATTTTTCTCAAAACTCTTGCCCCATCTTCTCTGTCCCCCCAGCCCCTACCCAAGTAAATTCGGCAATGATATCTCAGAGACTGGGGGCCTGAGAGAGGCAGGTATCACAGGAGCCCGGTGTGTGAGGGCGGATGGGCGGGAGGCACACACAGAGCCCCCCCAGAGTTATCTGTACTCTGCGAATAAGCCAGAGGGAAGGATGCCAAAGGAAGCTCTCGTGGAAAACACAAAGGCTGATGGGGGGAGACTTTAGGACAAGTTAGGCATGGCCCCTGAATATACATCCAACCATATAAAAAATTACCTGGGCTGTACCTTTGTTGCACAAATAATCCTAATGTAAATCTGTAAAAGTCTATTAAAATTACATTTTGAAGAACTAAAATGGCAGAAAACAAAATTTCTGGGTAGATGTGAAGCCAGGTGATGATGCTGTCATAGTTCATTTCCTTTTCCTGAGTTTACGGCCCTTTAAGGATTTACTCTGTCACAGGTACCAAATCATAACTGTTCTTTCCACACTATCAGCCATCAAGTGTTCTGACTCAGAAGCTTTTAAGATGTTAGTTCACCTTTAAGGGGAGGGAAAGCGTCTTTTGTTTGAGTGTTCAGTACATGAGGGTCTCACACAATCCTCCTTAAGGCCCCGGAGGGAGATGCACCTGCCCATATACTCAGGTGAAGTCCAGCAAGCAGGACGCCGTGTGGTCACTCACAGGCCAGCACTGCCCACGAAGCCCACCTGTTTCTCACTACACATGGTTGAGAGAGAAAACTGCCTTTAACCCAGAGTCAGAAATGAAGAAAACACCAATTATCAAAAGAAAATCTGGGAACTATAGATTAATGTTTTATAAAGTTGGCTGACTGGTAGAAATTATTAGCCAAGTTACTCAATATTTAATAAATCAAGATATTCACTAATCTACCCCACAAACATGAATGTCCACAGGCCAGACGTTCTAGGAGCTCCTCTGGGTATAGTACCCAAGAAGACCATGTCCTGCCCCCATGGGGCTTATGTTCTTGTGGATTAATTTCAACTAACTGCTAAATTTCTTCTGGACAAGGATATTTATATTTTACACTTCTTATAACAAAAAACAAAAATAACTCCCCTCCACCTCCGTTAATTTCCCCCAGCCCACAGATGAGCCTACTGAATTACTACTTAACACCCTTACTTCTATCTGTGGTTTAGAAAGTTCCGTCTGGCTCATGCCTGGGCTGGCAACTCGAAGCACCATCAAAGGAGCCAGTCAACATATCAAAACTACACCTAGTGAGTGCATCAACCTAGACAGCCACTAAGAGGAAAATATTCAACTTGTTCATCTTAGAGATAAATGTCCTGCTGTTTTTTGGGGAAGCAGATAAACAGATGGCCTGTTTCTTCTATGGAAAGAAAAGCTCAGTAGCTAACTGTTAAGTGGCTTAAATAAATGTACAGGTATAAACATATCCATCAGGTTAGGATCATGGAGTTATCAAAAACCATACCACTCCATTCTTACTCCTATAATCCCACCTGGATACTCAACCCAATTCCTCCCATTCTGACGTAGTCAACCTACCAAAAAGATATCTTTCTTATAGACTAGAAATGTCAATGTAAGTTAAGTTCAAAAGCATAAGTGTTTTATTTTGCTATCTGCAATGTGTCTGACAACTGTAAGTGTTGATACTTGGACATTAAAATTGCTCCTTATTTGAAACAAAAGCTCTTATTACTAAGCAGGGAGATCAAATTTTTAACTTACAAGGCAATTTTACGTGAGCATAAAAAATTCTACAACGGGGAAATTCTGATGAGGTGTATCTTTACCCACAAAAAATGTAGTTTCAGCATTTGAGAAAGCACTTGATTCCATAAACCTGACAGTAAAACTTAAAAACAACAACAAAAAAAACACAACCGAACAAACAAAAAACCCCAGCACAATAAAATATAAACAGCTCTCAAGGTAAAGCTACTCCAAAGTTGTCGTCTGCAGTGAAAGCTCCAATCCTGCAAAGTACCAGACTGAGCCAGAGGGGACTTCCTAGGTCCAGGTTATCTTTCTCTTCACTGGTAACAAAAGGCACTAATCAAAACTTTCATGATGTAACTTGTCACGCATAGGCAATTTCATCAAAAGTGTGTTACGTCAGCTGAATTTTCATTAAAACTCTTAGAAGTAATTCTTTGAAATCCATAACTTACTGGTAACGTTATTTCCTATGGGAAATACCATACGGTATAATTAATCCGTTTTTCTCTACCAGTGGGGGTAAGGGAAGGGGCAGAGGAGGGCATTATCCAATGCCAAACAATTTAGTTACTGAAAGACGCACGTCTCTTAATTAACAACCTGTTCTGGTTCAGCAATGGAACTATTTTCTAACTCATAAGGTAATTTAAAAGCTTAGAAGTTCAGCAATTGAAAAAATTAATACCGTGGTTAAGTGGTTGATAGTGAAATCAGGCTGGGGCTTTCAGAAAGGACTTTCTGTAATGCCTCCAGCCAAGGCAGGGGGAAAAAAATCAAAACAAAATGAGATTGTCAATTCATAATGAGCTCAACATCAGTCAAACTAAACCTTCTGAACTCCTTTAAAGCCCACGAGCTTCCACTCCAATGTAACACATAGCAGGTGCTCAAAGGAACTGAAGTCACATCATGACATTCACCTCGTCTTTCTGAACCCAGCCGTCCTTCGTTCTGTGGCAGTGCCGTGAAATGACATCTAATGACTCGGGCGTGCGTGCTGGGATGGACAGGGCATGCGGGTATGTCACACATAAGCATTCTCCACTGCTTATCCGGGGACGGGATTGTCACAATTCTTAATGCGTCCCCAAAGGGCAGCCACCTTATTACTAGAGTTTCAAGGGCAGCACCAGAAACCAAATTAAAATTCACGGGAGTGCTTCACTCTGTACTGTTTTCAGATGGTCAGTCATCTACAAATACCTGGGCAGAATCGAGATTAGATTTTAAAGTCATTGACATGAATTAAGCTCTGAATCAATATTCAACTCAGAACCGAGAAAGGATTTCTCAGTCCCCAGAGACACGGAATGTATGACTTGGAAGAAATGGCTGTGTATTTTAAACACACAGTGGAACATACTTAGTCAAGTAAGTGCACACTCTGTCCAGCACTTGTGGGACACAAGTCAGGCCCAGCCAGGGACTGAGGGGCTATGAATGGTAAGAAGGCCCCTCCTTCAGATAGGGTTGTCCATCTTTATTCCCTGGGGACATTCTGATTTAACCACCAAAAGCCATATGACCATTTCTTTGGGGACTCTGAAATCAGTTTTAAATCAATTCCAAAAGAGATACACTCCAAGAACATTTAGAGGAGACACTGCCTCTGCAGGTGGCCACCCCGAACCTCAACATTTATTTGGAGAAATAAAAAGTCTGGGATGTTTATGCAACTCAACAGTCCCCTTGCTTTTTAAAAAATATTTTCAAAAATATTTTCTCAATTCAGTTATCCACAGCTTACAAGAGGAAGGAAGCAATCAGGCTAGCCCGCCAAGATTTCCTTACGAAACCCACTGAGTGACCAAGCTGTCACTATTCCCAGTTAGCCATAAGGCTAAGGAGAAGAATAAATGCCATCACAGTAAGTTTTACTTCAGTACATGCTTTCTGCTAGCATCACCTGTTGGAAATCAACTCTGATGGTTCTCAGAAATAAAATGAGCCAGAAATTACACACACACACATACACACACCCTTCTCCAGGTGTATTTCTCACTTATTTTATTTTTTGGCACATCCTCTATCAATTCCACCGAGCCACTGGATGAAAATTAA